GCCACCTTAGGTGTACGTGGCTGGTGCCTTAGCCGGTTGAGCTACAGGCGCCGAGCCGAGGAGCTCTTTTCATCAGCAGCTGCTTGAAATATGGCTGCTGAGGACTCAGTTGATTCCCATCTTGGCAATTGCCCTATGCAGAACTGCCTCAGCTAAGCTTCCACCACCTCCTGGGAGACGCTGGAGTACAAAAGTCCATCTCTTGTTTCAATGTATGACCATTTTGAAGGCTCACCCTAGCTTCAGAGGTCCCTATCAGATAGGCTGAGGCCTCTGTGTAACCTTCTTCTGCTTCCTTCACTTTATCACAGGCATTGTCCCCAAGAATGCCCAAGAAACTTACCAATCTCCATCTCAGAGTCTACTTCTCCAGTAAACCTGACTTAAGTCAAGCAACCTCTATATGGATAAGGCACTTCTACTAAGTTAGGCTGGCAAAATTCTTCTGTGTAGGGCCAGATAGTAAAAGTTTTAGGTTTTGGTAGGCCATGTGTTTTCTGTCACATCTACTAAATGCTGCAAATCTAGTGTGAATGCAGCCATAGACAATACATAAACAAACAAATGGGCATGGCTGTGTTCTAATACAACTTTATTTTATGGACACTGAATTTGAATTTTACCGAATTCGCACATGTCACAAAATACTATTCTAATTTTGTTTTTTGTTTTGTTTTTGTTTTAACCATTTAAAAATGGAAAAACCATTCCTTGCTCACTGGAGTTCAAAAATAGGCAAAAGGCTGGTTTTGGCCAAGGGGCCATAGTTTGCCAACTCACAAAAGGGTAAAGCAGTGAATCCTTCATGAAGCCACCATTCTAGTGAATGGGTTTACAAAATTTGATATCATGAGATCCTAGGGCTTGTAACTTTGTTCTGAGGATATGAAAGACCCTTTCCTGGCTCCAGATCAAGAGGGCATGGAGAGAAGGAAGAGGAAAAAAATGGGAAAAAATAAGATTCATAACTTCTTTTGAAACTTAGAACCACCAAGAAAATCATAAACAGCAAAATAAAACTAAATGGTTTAGCATTTATTGTACAGTGTTTTCCATTTAGAAGACTGTATCTTCACCAATAAACAGAAGTAGGAGGTTTGAATGGCTTTTTTTTTTTTTTTTTGGCTATAGCTGTAGCTAATCATTCAAAAATAAAAACACAATTGCAATTTACTACTATTTTAATATTTACAAAGGACGTATCTTTACATGCTCTACTGATACAGAATAGGTAAAAGAGCTATAAACATATATTTTTTTTAATGTTTGAACCTTTCTACCCAAATATAGCAGCCTTCTGCAGTCCATTTCCCTTGAGGAGAAACAATTTGGAGGAATTTATTTGGGTAACAAACATATTCTTAACTCTTTACCCCCAAACGTTTGTTTTTTTAATTTTGCCATAGTGTGTTTCTTTCTTCCTTGGCTTGTCTCCTTTTTTGGTTTCTATACTCCTTCGAATGAATTATAACCTTTTCTTTTTTGATCATTTTTATTTTTATTTTTATTTCACTGCTATACAAACCTCTCTTTGAAATCATTCCTTATGGCTCCTTTTCCCACATCCCTTCAACATATGTAATATGATGAGATTTCCCCTTAATTCACACGTGACCTCCAGCCAACCCTTACTTCTCTAATTCTTAACTCCCCTTCACCCCTCCTGCACATTCTCAGAATAAATGAACGAAGTGTCACTCTGGGTTAGAGGAAATGAGAGACAGGGATGGAAGCATGATCTCTATGGATTTACATTGCTATACTGAGAAATATGGAGACTAGGAGTGCTGATTTCAGTCGACGCCAACTGTAGTAGGTGGCTAATGACTATATCCTTGGCTTTTGAAGTTTCCAGGTTCTTCTCTCTAGACATTTGAAGACTGATTTGGTCCACACTTGTCATGATGAGTTCAGATGCCAGAATCTGGGTAGGAGAACTGTCATGAAACATGGCGTCCATAATGTACTGTTTATATAACTCCACAACCTTCTGCTCCAGATACTCATTCAACACTGCATTTGAAACAGGCTTCTGCATTTGCAGGCTGCTTTTCTCTTTGATGCTGGTTATTCTCCAGTAGGATGAGTACCGCTGGATAGGTTTTTGGGGAAAGTCACTGGGCTGAGTGGAAATGGAATCCTCCATAGGCAAAGGGATCTCTGATGACTTCAGCAAAGGGCCACATTCAAAACTGCTCTCGGAGGGAAAATCTGTAGTCACTGAATTAATGGCCATCACCTGGCCCCCAGCAATATGTAGGTCATTGTAATTCTTGCAAATACTTTTGCAGGAAGGTGGAACCAAGTAAGTTTCTCTGCTGGGGTCTCTACATGTTTCAACTGCGGCCAAGTTTGGGCTTTCAAACACAGGATTGGAGGTTGTCTGCAGCACTGTGACTCTTTGACGTGTGCTGTGTTGGCTCTCTCTTGAATGCACTGAAGAAATAAACTTGCCAGATGATTCGCAACTCATGTAGAGACTTCTGACTTGGGTTTCATCCACTGAGGAATAGGAAAGAGCAGCAACAGAATTTGTCTCCTCTTCCTTTTTCCCAGCCACCTGCTCATTATATGATGCACAGCTCCAGTGAATGTCATTCCAGTAGGCAAGTCCGCTGAGATAACCTTCTGACAGCATTCTGGAAAGAGAGTTGATGAGTAACGATGGGGAAAAAGAAGATTGCAATCTTAAAAATTGGCAGTTGACATATCAACAAAGTATAAGGCAATGAATGAAATTATTTCATTCATTCACCAAACCATTGCTAATTGTGTGCCTGTTGTATACCAGGACTATAGCATGTGCTGGGGATATTAAGATGAAAATGACACAGTGCCATCCTTCAAGAAGTTTCCCACGCGGGGTGAAAATACACTGGATAAAAATAATTCTGATATTGTATCACCAAAGATTAGAATAGCAATAGGCACAAAGGAAGTACAGAGAAGGGGCCCCTGACTTAGCCTGCAGCAAAGCGGAAGAAGTCAAAGAAATGTGTCATAGGGAAAGTGGGATTTCAGCTGAAAGGCAGAGAGTAAGCAGGAGTCCCAGCCATAGCCACAGAGTAATAAGAGAACATGGTGGAACGGCCTATCCACCACATACCGGGAAGCTGAGCACCAGCAGGAGTTGGGAAAACAGGCTGGAATTGGATCATGAAAAGCCCCGGGAATCAGGCAAAGGCATTTGCATTCTACCCTATAGGCAATGAACGTGACTGAGACGTTGCAGATTAGAGAGCAGCATGACTACTGGGTTATAAGAAAAATAAGAAGGAAACTTGTGGCAATTTCTACTGAAAATGAGACCTGGATCCTACTGTATTGTATTTTATCTCTAGGAGCTAGCACAGTTGTTTGCATTTTGGAGGTACTCAAAAGGAATTTGTTAATTTGAATTAAATCGTCGACAACAATGGCATGGGGTGAAATTAATTCCTAATAATGTTCGCTACATCATAAAGAACCACAAAGCCTCCACAACCTTTGCAGCCTAGAATGAACTTTTTTCTTTATCCTTCCCACTTCGCAGAGTGCATCCTGGACACATCTCTACCCTAGCGACTAGAGAACTTTCCGGACCATGGGCTTTTCCTATACTTGTCTCCCCTCCTCACCCTCAGCAGTTGTCACTGAACTGGGCTTTCAAATGACATACTGATACAGAATGGGTAAAAGAGATATAAACATATATTTTAAAGAATGTTTGAACGTTTTTTTAGTAAAGGCTAGAATAGGCTAGAAACCAGCAGCTGTGTTTTCTACTGGGATTCCTGGCACTGGGACAACAGGCAACAGTGAAGAAAATTGGTCTTTTGGGACCTTGAGGGCCAAATGTCTACCAGGACCTGTCAACTTGAACCTGAAATTGAAAAATCAAAACACAAAAGAAGGATTATTTGTTAACCATACATAAAGATCCTTTTTAAATTTAAATTTTAGTATCTTTTTCACATACATACAATTATTTCTCAGGTAGGCGGTGCCTGTGGCTCAGTGAGTAGGGCACAAACCCCATATACTAAGGGTGGCAGGTTCGAACCTGGCCCCGGCCAAACTGCAACAACAGCAACAATAAAAAAAAATAGCCGGGTGTTGTGGTGGGCACCTGTAGTCCCAGCTACTTTGCATTTTGGAGGTACTCAAAAGGAATTTGTTAATTTGAATTAAATCGTCGACAACAATGGCATGGGGTGAAATTAATTCCTAATAATGTTCAATACATCATAAAGAACCACAAAGCCTCCACAACCTTTGCAGCCTAGAATGAACTTTTTTCTTTATCCTTCCCACTTCGCAGAGTGCATCCTGGACATGTCTCTACCCTAGCTACTAGAGAACTTTCCGGCGCCTAAGCACAAGAGCTGGAGGTTGCTGTGAGCGATAACTCCACAGCACTCTACCAAGGGCGACAAAGTGAGACTCTGTCTCTAAAAAAAATTATTTCTCAGGTAAATACGTTCCTCTTTTTTAAAAATCGTGTAAAGGTTGTTTTCCTTTTCTGGAATTATTCCAGATTTATTTAGCAAATTGATCAATTATTTAAATATTTACTATATTCTGAGCACAGTTACATGCCATAAAGATTACAAAGCTAAAGATCTTCAGCAAATCCATGAAGTAATTACTGTATGCTAAACGCATTTTAAAAAATAATGTGTTGCCCTTTCCTATAAAAAGCTTTGTCAGTACAATTCTGCCTTCAATATACCTAACATCTAGGTGAAAAGGAAATCTTACATACATGAGAAGATAGTGAACAGAGCAGAAAGAGTTCATCACAAAGACCCAAACGTGGCTCAGCGCCTGTGGCTCAAGTGGCTAAGGCACCAGCCATATACACCTAAGATATTGGGTTCGAATCCAGCCCAGGCCCGCCAAAACAACAATGATGACTGCAACCAAAAAATAGCCGGGCTTTGTGGCAGGTGCCTGTGGTCCCAGCTACTTGGGAGGCTGAGGCAGGAGACTCGCTTGAGCCCAGGAGTTGGAGGTTGCT